AGCTCTGAACCCTGCCCTGCCCTGAACCAGTCTCACTAATTCCGACACACCAACCCCCATTGCCCCCATCACTGAGTCAATCCATCTCATCTGAAGACTAGGAAGGAGGACGGGCCATTCACTTCCAAAATATTAACAGGCTTTCAAAACCCTATGTACAGCAGAGCACACTGAGAGAAGGGAGGAAGGGGAAAGGTGGATTCTGAATTGCCTCTGAGCCGCAATCCACGCGGGCCATTCCCTCCCAAGGAGCATTCCTGGGGTGGGGGTGGGACTCTGACTCACCCTTTCTCCGCTGTGCTCCTTAAACCAACACCTCGGGCGCCTCCACCCCCCAGAGCCTTCCCAGCATCCAAGCCTGCCCTGACTGCTGCCCCACCTCCACCCTGGCGGCTTCCCCTGTAAATGTTCCACTCGGGCTCCAGAAGGGCTCTTCAACGGGTACTCCTCCCACATCCCCACCGCCCCCTCCTTGCTCAGGCACCTCTGGGTTCCCCCGTCCACTCCCAGCCTCCTCCCTAGTCTCTGGCTCCAATCTTCCCCTTTCTCATCCATGCTCCAGAAAGTAGCTTGAATTGGGCCCTGCCCCTCCCCTGCTTTCAAGCCTTCCATGGCTCCCCAGTACACTTGGGACAAAGCACAGACTCCTCACCCTGGCCCACAAGGCCTAGGCAAGTCTGACTTCCACCGGCCCCTCCAGCTTGAGCCGCTGCTCCCTTGTCTACACGGGTTTCAACACTGCCATGAAGCCCCTGTCTCTGTCTCCAGTGCACTCACTGGCAGATGTCACTGCCTCTTCCCTTCCTCATACTCCTCCAGGCGGAAGCTCAGATGCTCCCTTCTCCAGGAAGCCCTCCTTGACTTGAGTTTCCCCATCGCAGTCCTGACCAGGGCTGAATCGTCACTCTCTGAGGGAAGGTTGGTCTCCTCCTCTGGGCTGGGAACCCTGACCTGGCAGGGTTGTAGCTGGCCCGTTCACTGCAGTATTTTCAGCATCTCCCAGGACTGACCAGACCAGGCGTAGATGTTCTGCTGAACATGGGTATTTGCTGAATGTCATGCATCCAATAAATATTTACCGAGCAGCTCCTCTGTGCCAGGCACTGTTCCAGGCACTGTTCCAGGCACAGAGAAGCCGGCAAAGAACACAACATAAAGCTCTGATGAGGTGGAACTTCCCAGGGAACGGCTGGCTGATGGGTTCAAACCTTGGACCTTCCAACTTGCAGCTTGCTGTCTAACCACTGCGCCACCAGAGTTCCTTCTGGAGGACACAGACAATACACTTAGAAACTCTAAAGACCATAGGAGCAGAGATGAATGGTAAAGAAAAGGGGCATAGAAAGGCCCTGCATTGAGGGGTGATAGTCATAAAGGGGGAACAGAGGAGACCTTCCATAGAAACTGTCATGTAAATAATGATTAAAGGAGATGAGGAAAGAGGTTCGAGGCCACCAGTTGCTCCATAGGAGAAGGATGGGTCATCTCCTCCCATGAGATTAACAGTCTCTGAAAACCCACCAGAGGGTCAGTTATCGGTCAGTTCTGACTCAACAGTACAAAACAACAATGCCTCAAACCTGTGCTTAAAGACGATAAGGAAAGAGCCTGGTGAATGTTGTTGTTATGTGCCGTCGAGTCGTTTGCGACTCATAGAGACCCTATGTACAACAGCCCTAAACCCTGCTCTGTCCTGTGCCAATCGCACTGTCTCTGATACACCCATCCTGATTACCCCAGTGACTGAATCAATCCACCTTATAGAGGGTCTTCCCCTCCTGTGCTGTCCCTCCACCCTCTCAAGCATGATGTCTGTCCCTCTCCAAGGACCCGTCCCTCCTTACAAAATGTCCAAAGTATGTCAGACGAAGCCCCAGAATCCTTGCCTCCAAGGAGCCGCCCGGTTTAACCCTCTCTAGGATGAATCTGTTTGTTTTCTTGGCAGTCCATGGTACATTCAATTCTCTTCTTCAGCACCACAGCTCAAAGGCATCAATTCTCCTCCCTAGTCATTGTCCAACTCTCTGTTGCATAACAAGTGATTGCAAAGACCATGGCCTGTATCAGGAGCACCTTAGTCTCCAGAGAGACACCGTTGCTCTTGAGTACTTTAGAGAGGTCCCTAGCAGCAGACTTTCCCATTGCAATACGTTTTTTGATTTCCTGGCTGCTGGTGCCAAGAGTGTTGACTGTGGAGCTGAGCAAACTGAAGCTGTGAACAATCTCAATCTCTTCGCCATCCATCCTGATGCTGCCAATTGGTCCAGTGGTGAGAATCTTTGTCTTCTTGACATTGAACCTCAGTCCATACTGAAGGCTGCAGTCCTTGACCCTCTGCAGCAAGTGCATGAATATCTTTCCAGATTTGGGGGGTGTATGTGAGAAAAGGGAGCCCTGGTGGTATAGCACTTAAAATGCTTGACTTCCAAGTGAAAGCCCAGGGGTTCTAACTTTCCAGCTGTTCCAGGGGAGAAGATAAGGCAGTCTGTCGTTGTAAATATTTACAACCTTGGAACCCAGTCAGTTCTTTGTCCTGCAGGGTGGCTCAGTCATATCAAGTGGATGGCAATGGATTTCTGGGTGTTTTTTGTTGTTGTTTTTTGTAGGGGTTGGTGGGTGAATTGAGATGGGCTCTAGGAGGTAAAATCATTACTTGCAAAGGTTCTGAGGTGGGAGTGGTCAGGAGGCAGTGTAACCCAGAGTGAGTTATAGCGTTAGTTCTGAGTCAGCCACCCTGCAGGACAGACTAGAACTGCCTCGTGGGGCTTCCGAGGCTGTGACCCTCTGCAGAAGCAGATGGCTTCATCTCTCTCCCACAGAGCAGCTGGTGGCTTCAAACTGCTGACCTGGATGTTAGAAGCTGAGCGCGTAACCACGGTGCTGCCAGGGCTCTCTGAGAGCAGTAAGGTTAGTCTGGGATGTCAAGGAAGAAGAGGGCAGGGCTGCAGGGCCTGTGGGCCTTCGCGAGAAGCTGGCTTTTGCTGAGGAAGACGGGAGTTATGGAAGGGATCCAAGCAGCGTGAGTCTCCAGTCAGCACAGGTAAACACACAGCTTATTGACTTATTAGTCTAGAGTGACTGTTTCACATTTCTGCACCACATCCCAGATTCCTTCCTGGGGATGGCTGCCGTCTGTCTCTTTACTAAATGCACAGTACATCTCTACAGAATCAAAGCTTCTTTTCTCTTGACAGGCACCGACTGTCCAATAGGCAAAGGTAAGCGAGGCCTGACTTGTGTAGACCTACTAGATTACAGAGAACTGGTTCACACAGTTGCCCCTTTGCTATGGATCAGACCCTCGGTGAGATGGATTGGCACAGCAGCTCCAGAGATGGGCTGAGATTGTGAGCTGTGCTGTTGCTTTTGTGGACCATCCAGTTGGAACCGACTCACAGCTGACCCTCCAGCGGGTTTTCAGAGACAGTAAATGACACAAAGGAGGAGACTGTCTGTCCTTCTTCTGTATAGCAGCTGGTGGTGGATTCAAACTGCCTCCCTTTGGGTTGGCAGTTCAATTCCTTGCCGCTAGGTCACCAGTGTTTCCTTGTGAGGCATAGAGAGCTTGTACATGGGTTTCTATGAGCCGGAGTCAACTTGAGGGCATCTAACTACAGCATTGTTGTTAAGTGCCGTCAAGTCGTAGGCGACTCATAGGGACCCTATGAACGAAAGTCCTCGGCACTTGCATGCGTGACTTTCATCCTTTCTCCAGGTTCATAGGGTTTCCAGAGGCAAGCTATTTATAGAAATGGATGCCACTCCTGCTCCAAAGCTTGTTGCAATCGGGAAGCGCCACCAAACACTGTCCCCCATGGGTAACCGTTATTGCATTTGACACATCAGTGTCACAGTGTTCAGCTTCACAGCAACCACAAGTTACCTCTGTATGGCAAGTGGACACACCAGGGCTATACGACCTAGAAGGCTGTTTGACGAACAACAATTTAAAACAGGCCTGAGGGCCATGGATAAGAATCAGCATAGACTAGGTATCTCTATATTCAGCATACAGTAAGTGTATGTTTACTTGATAAACAGACTGGTGGAAAGAGATGGATCTTCAAAGGAACCGCAAGACAAATGAGGAGATGCTGAGACGGACGTGTATCCTAATTCATAGGGACTCCACGTGTGTCAGGGTAGAACTGTGCTCCACAGGGTTTTCTTGGTGTTGGATTATTAACCAAAAAAATCAGTGGTTTGAATCCACCAGCCGCTTCTTGGGAAAAAAAAATCTCTTCCCGTTAAGATTTACAGCCTCAGAAACGCAGTGGATGAGGGTCACCATCAGCTGGCCTCAATTCAACAGCCGTGGGACTGGGTTTGCATTTTTAACGAGAAGTCCTTGGGGGGGAGGGTGGCCACAAATGATCACACACCTAACTATTAGCTGAAAAGTCGGCAGTTCGAGCCCACTTAGCAGCTCCTTAGAAGACCAAAAGTCAGGCCGTGCACTTCTGAAAGTCCACATATGGCGCACAAGGCAGCGAACAACTATATTTACAGAACCCGATTGCCAGGCCTTTTTTCCTCAGTGCCTAAGTAGCTTCGCAAAAACAACCTTTCAATAAGTAGCAGACTGCAAACTATTTGGGGTCTCCCCACCCATAACCCACTACCATGGAGTCTATACTGAGTCACGGCGGACCCTCTGTTGGTTTTTGAGGTGGTAAATCTCTGAGGATGGAGACTGCTTCATTTTTCCCATCACTTGTGGAGTCCAACCACTGAACTGTCAACCCAAAGAAAGCAGTTTAAGTCTAGCCACCAGGGGTACAGTTTGGGGGGGTTCCCCAAGATCTTCAAAGGGAAGAGAAAGGATCCTCCATGAAGCTCGCCATCCAATCCAACCCACTCCACTTTGCGCCCCCCGGAAAGCTCAGCGGGAAGGGCGTTAATCAGTGAATTCTCACTTGGGGGGGGGGCTGAGAACTGCGGTCAGAGGGGGTTCCCGACCCCCCCCACCCCCCTCCCCGACCCCCGGCCCCCTCACTCACCCGCACCAGCCGCGCCCTCTTGACCAGGTCGTTGAGTTTGCGCAGCGCGGCGTGGCGCGGCAGGCCCTGGATGTCTCGGAAGAGGTCTTGCTCCTCCAGCTCGAAGAGGCGCCGGTTGTCGGGCACGAGGAGCGGCTGGGACCAGAAGGAGCCGATGTAGACGCGCAGCACCTCGGGCGTGCCCACCACCTTGCCCAGCGCCCACATGAGCGCCCCGTACACGCGCATCAGCTGCTGCGTCTCCACCATGTCGGCCTTGTTGAGCACCACGCGGATCTTGTCCTCGTGGCCGCGCAGGGCGCCAATGGCCTCCGAGAACTCGTCCGAGATCTCCAGCTTGTGGGCATCGAAGAGGAGGATGATGAGGTCCACGCGCTCGGCGAACCAGCGCAGCACCGCTGGGAAGTCATACCCTGCGGTGGACACGGGGGAGCGGGGCTCAGGGGCCAGCAGGCAGCCTCGCCCCCCCCCCCATACACCAAGGGACCCAGCGTGGCTCAGGTTGCTAACTATGGAAATAAATCCTTGTCTACACCAAATAGCCCAGGACCTGAGTGGGTCCCGCTGCCAGGCCTCCCAGCCCCCAGGATTTCCCCATCCAGGATCCCAGTTCTTGGAACCACCTGGCTGGGGGAAGGGGCACCCACTCCCTCCACTTCTTTCATTCATTCAATCAGCAGATACTTGCAATGTGTTATGGTGAGAAGTGGTCCCTTAAAAAACGCCCAAACAGCAACAAAACCCCAAAACCTGTTGTTTTAAGTGGATTCTAATTCCATAGGGTTTTTCAAAGCTGAAAATGTTATCAGCCCAAAACTTAATCCAAAGTGCCACTAGCGCTCCTTCTTAAAATGAAAAACAAACTTCAAATTCATTGCTGTGGCATCAGAACAGACTTTCAGCTGATCTTCCAGTGGGTTTTCAGAGGCAGTTTCATGGGAGGCGACTGCCCATCTTTATTCCACGGAGCCGTTGGTGGATTTGAACCACCTACCTTGGGCTTGGCAACACTTGTAGTAGGAAGGTATAACCCATTCTTGCCAGGTGGGGCAGCTCTGACTCATCCTGACCCTGCATTGGGCTTCTGAGGCTCTTTAAAGATGTATGGACGAGATTGCCCATCTTTCTCCCTCAGAGAAGCCAGTGGATTTGAACTGCTGACCTTTTGGTCAGCAGCAAAGCACATCACCAACTATGTGACCAGGGCACCTTAGTAGGAAGATGTAGGTTGTTAAAAGCACTGGTATGCAGTGAGCTCTGGTGGCTTAGTGGCAAGAAGCTGCACTGCAATCCCAGAAGTGAGAGGTTCAAAACCACCAGATGCTCTGCTAGAGAAGGAGGGGCAATCTCCTCCTGTACCACTCAGATCCAATTTGACTGTACACACACAAAAAAAATTAAAAGCAAAACAAAACACTGGAGTGCTCTCTAAGGAAAGACCCTGTGAGTCCCGGGAATCCCTATCTCCCAAACTCTCATCAACCCCAGACCCTCCTCCAATCCAAGACTCTCTCTCTCTCCACTCATTTTGTAATCCAGCAACTGAAGAATTTATTCAGGGACCTGGTGACGTCCTTGTTACACAGATATGAAATATTTTGAAGGTTACCTCTGAATTTAGCACTATTTGCTGAGAGCTTTCTCGGTACTGAGCCCTGTCCTAGGCTCTGGGGACTGACTGACTGTCCCTCTGGACCACCCACCACAATGGATGACTCCTGTGCTCACCCCCTTACTCCCTTCACTGTCTTGTGTCATCATCTGTGAGTTCATTCGAGCTGTCTGTCTTTACTTGCTCAATCTCTCCTGGGTACACTCAACACCTGACCCCTGGCAGAGCAGAGAGGAGGAGCCCCTGAGAGCCCTGACTTGGCAACCACGGAGATCTGGGTTTGAGACTCTGCTCTGCCTTGATCTGCTGTGCTGCCCGAGGCAAGTCACTTAACCTCTCTGAACCTGTTCCTCCTCCTGTAAAAAGGAAATCATAACAGGAACAAATTTCATAGGGAAGTTGTGGTAATGAAAAGAATGGAGATAAATTTATAGACATAAAACATTTAAAGCAGCGCCTGGTATGGAATTATGGACCTAAAAGGAATCAATTTTGTGGCATGCAAATCATACCTCAATACAACTGTTTGTTGTTGTCGTTGTTGAATACCATTGAGTCAGAACTGACCCATAGCTGACCCTCCCGTGGGTTTTTAGAGGCAGTTAACCACACAGGAGGAGAATACTCATCGTTCTTCCACAAAGCAGCTGGTGGATTCGAACTGTGAGCCTTCAGGATTGCAGTGCAGCCCCTTATTACTAGACCACTAGAGTTCCCCTCTTTGTTTTGTTTTGATAAAATCCCAAAACATCTCCATGATCCTGAGACAAAAAGAACTAGATGGGGCCCAGCCTCCACGGCCGACCACATGGAAAGGGAACACACAATCAGAGGTCCTGGGCTGAGGGGGAGAACAGGGTACCACAAAACTGAAAATTACACAAACAATGAGGAAGGGTCTTGCAGGAGATTATGGAATCCCCAAGACTGTGGTTCTTAGTCTTGTCTCAAGCCAACGCGTTCTTGCAGCTCAACTTTCAGCCAAAGAGGGGCCAGGCCTGTAAGTAAGGTGATCAGGTCCAGGCGTAGAACTCAGAGACCAGGAGGACCAAGGAAAGAAGGAAACGGCCCTCACAGAGAGGAAGTGGGAAGAGTGGTGTTCCTCGGCGGGGCTTGGGATTAATGTCACGGGGCAGAATGTGTATGAATTATTGGACGGAAAACCAACTTGCTCTGTAAACTTTCACACGCGTCACAATAAAAAGGTTGTTTTGCTTTAAAAACAATACAGTGCTGGAAGTATGGAGCATGGTCCAGCAAGTAGGCGTTAAGGGGCTTTGCCAAGTTCCATGGGGCGGAGGTGTCAGCTGCCTCCTCTGTGCTGGGGACACAATGATGGCAGGCACAACTCTTGCCCGGCCCTTACAGAGTCCTGGCTCCAGACAAGTCGGGATGGGATATCAAATCCAAGTCAAATCCACTGCCTTCAAGTTGATGCAGACACACAACAATCCTCCATTGGGTTTCTGAGGCTGTAATCTCTCCGGGGGGGGACTGCCCATCATTTTTCTTCAGAAAGCTCGGCGGATTCAAACTTGTGATCCTTAGGTTAGCAGTCAAGCACTCTGACTACTGCAGCACCAGAGGTCAAAACTCCTCTGCCCCATTGCCACGGAGTCAGTTCCAAGTCACAACATGCCCACAGAACAGCAGAACTGAGGTTTCCGAGGCTGTAATTCTTCACAGAAGCAGACCACTTCATTTTTTTGCGGTGGAGCATCTGGTGGGTTTGAACTGGTGACTTTGTGGTTGGCAGCCAAGCACTGCTCCACCAAAGTTCCCTAAAACAGCCCTCAAATCCTCACTTACTTGTGAGTTGGTCCTAATACACAGCAATCCTCTAACAGATTGACGGCCGTAAATCTTTAAGGGAGGGGGACTGCACATCTGTCTCCCTCAGGGCAGCTGGCAAATTTGAACCTCCAACCTTTTGGTTAATAGTGCAATACGTAGCACACTATGCCACCAGAGCTCCTTTAAAAAAAATACCCACAACTCTGGGAATTCCATGTTCTAAATGAGGCACAGAGAGGTTACGGGACTTGGACACACAGCTGGAAGATGGGAGAACAGGGCTTGGAATTTAAGTTCCTGAGCCCACGGTGGTTTTCTTGATCCCATAGGGAGCTGGTCTTGGGGTGTCCCAGCCCATCTGAGAGGAAGCAGGTTCCTCCACAGCCACTGGGGAAGGGACTTGAGGACGGTGAGGGGCATTGTTTTGAGGGAGGAAAGGGCTGGGTCACTGGAGGGGCTGCGGCTAATTTGGAAAATGTGTTTCGTGGGAGGGGTGGAGGGAACGAGGTTGAGTCAGCATGAGAGAGGGGGAGGAAGGAGGGAGGGAGACTGAGAGAGACAGAGAAAGAGAGAGAGAAGGAGGGGGAGAGAGACAGAGGGAGGGAGAGAGAGATGGAGGGAGAGAGAGAATAAATGAGGGAGGGAGAAAGAGAGAGAGATAGAGGGAGGGGACAGAGAGAATGAAGAGCAGGAGAGAGAGAATGAATGAGGGAGGGAGAGAGAGAGGAAGAGAGAAACAAAGAGAATGAATGAAGGAGGGAGAGGGAGAGAGAGAGAGAAAGAAGGAGGGAGGGAGAGGGGGAGAGAAAGAGAGAGAAAGAATAGAGGAACCCAGCCCAACATACTAACTAGCAATGCAGGGAACCCTGGGCCTACAATGGCATCCAGGTGAGAACAATCATCATCATCATCACCATCATCATTGGTAAAACACAGCCTCAGGGGACGTCAAGGCCAACTGGCACAACCCACAAAGACCATCTTCTATGTCCTACTTCAGTGAGGAGCAACGGGGGGGTCTTAAGAGCTTGTTAGCAGTCATCTAAGGTGCAATGATGGCTCTCTTCTCCAGTAAGGAGAATGAAGAAAATAAAAGAGTAAGTAAACAGTCGGAGGAACCAACAGAGCACAAGAACTACAGGCTTCCTCAGCCTGAGACGAGAAGGGCTAGATGGAGACGAGAAGGGCTAGATGGAGACGAGAAGGGCTAGATGGAGACGAGAAGGGCTAGATGGTGCCCGGTGACCACACCACTCTGATCAGGAGCTCAACAGAAGGTCTCGGACAGAGTATGAGGGAAATGTTGAATAAAATTCCAGACCATACAAATGACCAGACTGATGGGTCTGATGGAGACTGGTGTAATCCCCTAAACAATGCCCCTCAGACATCCTTCAAACCTAGAACACATCCCACTTCAGGCTATTACTCTTCAGTCAAACAATGGACAATGGACGGACCTATAAAGTAATTTACAACAGGATCCTCAGCACAATCAACCCTCAGAACAAAAGGGCAGCACCTGCCCCAATAAATAAAAGTTCAGAAGACAGGAAGGGGCTGGAATGAGGGGTGAATGGGCACCTAGGGAGGAAGTGGGAAGGGGGCTGCACCATTGAGGGGACAGCCATTATGATTGCGAAATAATACGTGTATGACTCGCTGGACGAGAAACTAAGAGGCTCTGTCAACGTTCACACGGATCACAATAAAATGTTGAGTTGTTTTTGTGGCTTTTTTTAAGTTCTAAGAAATCAAACCAACTTACACAGTAAGAACCTACAGTGTGCCTCACACACTCTTCTAAAGGCTTCGCACATTTAAACTCAGTTAAATGACGCACGGAAGACCCACTTATATAAAGATCACAAGCCAGAAAGCCCCATGCAGCAGGTATGGGCAGGTGACTATGAGTCAGAACGGACTCCAAGGCAACAGGTGTTTGTTTTTTTGACAACCAAGGAGGCAGACACCAGAGTGTGTGACCTCAGGTCAATTCTGACTCATAGGTGACCCAGGTGACCCTACAGGATGGGGATATTTAGTTTGTTGGTATCTTGGTTTTTTTGTGTTTTTTTTTTCTTTTATGCGCCGTCATTTGGATCCAACTGGCACAGGAAGAGATTGTCCCTCCTTCTCCAGCAGAGCATCTGGTGGATTCGAACCGCTCACCTCTGGGATTGCAGCACAGCTTCTTGCCACTTGGCCACCAGAGCTCCCTGCAGTGGTGATATTTTCAGGAGCACATCCCCAAGGGCTTTTTCCCCTTGTGTGCAACCCCTGCCCCTTCTATTATCAGCAGAGGAGTTAAATGTGTCCACCACCAGGGCACTTTCTCACGGAGGGTGATGTTCTAATGATACCCATTTTTTCACAGCTTCCAATCAAGCAGAGACTTGATTTTAAACCATTCCCACAAAACAAAACAAAACCGTGGCTCCCAAGAGCACCAGGGGGCTTCACCCATAGGGCGCTGCTGCTCTGTGCCTTTTGGTGGTTCGAATCCACAACATCTCTGTTGCAAAAAGATGCCCAATCTTTTTCCCATGAGCATCTCCAGCTTCCAAAACCCACTCGAGAGTCAGCTATGAGTCAGCACCGACTCTACAGCACTGACAGGAAGAGAGAGTCCACTCCGGAGCCTTGGTGGTGCAGTGGTTAAACGGCTCTGGCCGCTAAGAGAAAAGTCAGTGGTTAGAGCTCTCCCAGGAGAAAGATGAGCAAATGTTTCTGTCAAGGTTTAACCAGCCTGAAACAGCACAGCAGGACGGGGACGCTCGCCTACGACTCTATGGCGGCGGGGTTTGTGTTCGTTCCTTTGGAAAGTGTCCCACTGTGTTACAGTTTCACCCGAGTGTAGGCACAGATACAATATTCTATACAGGAGCACATCACACAGCACTGTCACGCGCGCACACACACAGATGGTCAGGCTTAACCTCCTCTTCTTCCACACCCTCCCACCCCCGCAAGACCAAGGAGGAAGACCAGCTCTCTAATCGTCCCCCTTTCCATGGCACCCCAAAGGCCTGGCTTGAGGGCTGCCCTCTCCTGTGATCCCAGCCCCGCCCTTTGTGTGGGAGCCCCTGGAGCTGCGGGACCTCCCCGCCTCCCCCCATGGGCTGGCCTTGCGCCCTCCCAATCGCTTCTCCAGCTGCCTCCCGCCTTTCTCCCGCAGGACACCCCTCACCCCACCCCCGCTGGGCCGGGGCCAGGGCCACCGTCACCCTCCTTCCCGCCTCCATTGTCCCCTCTGTCCCACTCCCGCCGCTTCCTTTGCCCCAGTGCCTGGACACGGAGGCCAGGGGTGGGGGTGGGGGCAGATCTTGGGGTGAGGGTGCGGGTGCGGCGAGGTGGGGGCAGGGTGGAGCCCCGGAGCCCTCTGGAGGCCCCGCAGGAATGCACCCCCCCCCCCCCGCGCCGCTCCCCCTGCGCAGCTGTTTATAAATTCCAGGCCCAGCCTTGGCCCCCCGCCCAGGGCCCCCTCCCAGGCCATCTGTGCCCCAGACCCGGGTGCCCTGGGCCTCCTGGCCCTGCCGGGGTTCTCCTCGCTCCGCAGCGCTGCCTTGCCCCCCAAATCTCTGCTCCTCCCTCTTGATCTTTCCCGCGCCTCCCTGCCACCCGCCCGGGCTTGCCAAGCCTGCTCCAGCCCAGTTCACACGTGTTCACCCGCCTGCCACCCCCCTGCACCAACATGGAGGTCACTGGCTCCTCTCCTGCCCGGCCCAGGGGACCAGGAGAAGTTTGAGAAGAAACCCTGGGTCCCAGCATCTCATTTCTCAGACCCAGGAATCTGGACTCTTCAGTTCTGTCTTCCTTTCAGACCCAGGAGGTCGGGTCCTGGTCCCCTCCTCCCGCAGACCCAGAGGTCTGGTCCTTGGTTTTCTCCTCCCTCAGACTAAGGCATGGGGACCCCCAACACCCCCTTCCTCAGACCCAGGTGTCCTCCTGACCCATCCCTTCCTCCCTCACATCCGGGACTTAGGGTCCCAGATTCCTTCTCAAACCTAGAAGTCCAAAGGGCACCCCCACCTCCTTTCTCAGAGCAAGGAGTTTTGAGGACCCCCTCCTCTTCTCCTTTAAGTCGGGAATCTGGGTCCCCAGCCCTCCTTCTTCAGATCCAGGAGATCAGAGGCTCTTCCCCGCCACCTCCTCCAGACCTGGAGTCTGGGTTCCCAGATGCCTCTGCCTCTCAGACCTGGGAGACAGGCCTCCCTCCTCTGACCAGGGGGTCTGGCCTCACTCACCTCGGCTCACTCTCTGTTTGGCGCCTGACAGGATGCCCGGGGTGTCGATGATACTAATGCTCTCCAGGACCTGATTAGGGAGCTGGGCGCACATGAACCTGGGGGCCGAGGGAAGGTCAGGGTCAACGCGGGGAAGGACAGGAGGCCATGGCGCTTTAGGACATGAAATCCAAGACCAGGAGCCAGAGAGAGAGAAAGATTCTTGAAAGTGAAGGAGTCAATCAAAGTCTGGAATAACAACAAAATAATAATAGCTAACGTTTCTTGAGCACTAGGGTTCTGAGCACTTTGCATTCAAACCTCACAGTAATTCTGTGGTCACAACTACATTGTGCCTCCCCCTAAAATGTTTTTAGACTTCAAATCCCTATGTAAGAGCAATGGTGTCACTCTGGAGACTAAGGTGCACCTGATACAGGCCATGGTCTTTGCAATCACTTGCTACACATCAGAGAGCTGGAGAATGACTAGGGAGGATAGAAGGAGAACTGATGCCTTTGAGCTGTGGTGCTGGAGAAGAGTATTGAATATACCGTGGACTGCTAGGAAAACAAACAGATTCATCCTAGAGAGGGTTAAATCAGGCTGCTTCTTGGAGGCAAGGATTCTGAAGCTTCGTCTGACATACTTTGGACATGTTGCAAGGAGGGACCAGTTGTTGGAGAGGGACGTCATGCTTGGGAGGGTGGAGGGACAGCGCAGGAGGGGAAGACCCTAGATGAGATGGACTGATTCAGTGACTGGGGTAATGGGGGTAGGTGTGTCAAAGACAGTGAGGTTTGGCACAGGATAAAGCAGGGTTTAGGGCCGTTGTACATAGGGTCACTATGAGTTGCAGGTGACTCAATGGCACATAACAACAACAACAGTCTCTATGTTGTCTTGTTGTGCACCATCAAGTCAGAATCAATCCATAGCTGACCCTCCAGTGGGGTTTCAGAGGCAGTTAATTGCATGGGAGAAGACTGCCCATCCTTCTCCCCTGGAGCAGCTGGTGGATCTGAACTGCGTGCCTTCAGGATTGCAGCGCAGCTTCTTGCCACTAGGCTACCATTGCTCCCTGTACCTATAGAATAACCTCATGCGGGAATAGGTTTTTCTCCATTAGTCTTAGTGAGACAATATTGACAGAAAACAAAAAGAAATTCAAAACTCAGCCAAGCAGTGGAGCCTCAGTTCTGACTTCTAGCACCTCCGTCAGCTCCTGAGGCTGTAATTTTTTTTTTAGGCTGTAATTATTATTTTTTTTTTTAGGCTGTAATTCTTAAAGGAGGAGACTGCCCATCTTTCTCCCACAGAGCAGCAGCTGGTGGATTTGAACTGCTGAGCTTTAAGTTAGCAGCCCAGCTCTTAACACACAACTCCCAGTGCTCCCTATGTCAGTGTCAGGTGTGTGTTAAAACTCAGCGGTTTGTGAGTTACACAAAGAGCAGATTCGACACAGAGGAGCAAGTAGGAACAGAAGGAGGAACGTCACTCAGAAATCACCAAGAACCGCCTAGAAGACATGCGAGAGAAGCTGAGATGATAATTTCCCCCCAGTGCAGACAAGTAAGTTTCCGCCTGGAAACTGACAGCCTGAATTCAGCCTTCCAGCCTCCTGAATTGTGGGAAAATAGACCCCTGGTCCTTGGAACCACCCACTTCTAGCTTTTCCGTTACAGCAGCAACTCATCTTGTTAATGTTGACCTTCAGGACCATCTGACAGCTGGCCCTCCCTCCCTCGGGTTTCTGAGGCTGTAAACCACAGGCTCAAAGAGTGTCTGTCTTTCTCCTGAGAAGCAGCTAGAGAACTGGGACCGTCAGAGAGGGTTGGCCTTTGGGTGATCAGAGCTCCTGGGAAACTGGGCCAATGCTTATCCCCATGTTCCAGATGAAAATGAGAGAGCGGTTAAATTATTGACCCAGGGCCACGTAGCTAATGATCAGCAGAGCCAGGATATGAGCCCAGCTCTGATGACACAGTGGTTATACGAGAGGCTGCTCATTGAAAGGTCAATGGTTTGAATCCACCAGCCACCCTGTGCAGAAAAAGGCATGGGAATCTCTATCCATCTGTGTATTTACAGCCTTGGAAACTTGGGGGGGGCGGGCAGTTCTACTCCGTCCTATCGAGTTGCTACGAGCTGGAATTGTCTCAACAGCATTGGGGGTTTTTTTGGCGGGGTGCAGGGTTGTTTCAGGAGCACTGGTGGTACAGTCGTTAAGTACTTGGTTGTGATTTGGTCCCACCAGCTACTTTTGGGGAGAAAGATGTGGCAGTCACCTCCATAAAGATCCTGGCCTTGGAAACCTTACTGGGAAGCCCACCCCTGCCCTCCAGGGTCCCTCTGAGTTGGAAGTGACTCTGTGACTGTGGGTCTTATGGAAACCTCGCTCTGCATCCCCAGAGAAGGAGCTGATTAAGGCAGAGAGAGAAGAGAGAAGAAGCAGGTGGGAGCACATTGACGTGGGGATCCCCACGCACCTGTTGAGGAAGGTGTTCCCAAAGGGGTTGAGTTTGCGGAAGGGCTTCTCGGGGTCCACGACCAGGGCGTTGCCGGGAACGGTGCCCTCGGTCTCGCCGTGCATGACGGCCACGAAGCAATCGGTGGTGGGCTCGGGCCCCACGCGGGAGCCGGGCACCTCCTGCTCCAGCAGGTACTGGATGAAGCTGGTCTTGCCCGTGCTGTACTGGCCGGCCACCAGCACCATGGGCTTGCCGTCGAAGTCGGCATCCTCCAGGGCGGGCGAGTGGAAGGAGCCGAATCGGTAGTGTTCCTCCAGGGGCAGCAGCTTGGTGCGGTACAGATCCTTGAGGGACGAGGTCACTGTGCGGATGGCCTCGGGCTGCTGGCCCCGCGCCCCGCTCCGCTTCAGCCAGCTGAACATGGTGGCTGCTCGCTGCCCGCTGGGCTCACTGAGGGGGGGGATGCGTGTGTGGGGAGCTGCCTGTGGGAGGGGGAGAGGACACTGATGGAGGGCTGCCTGGAGGAGGAAGGGAGACAAGGTAGAAAGGCTGAGGGGGATGGGGAAATGATGGTGGGCTGCCCGGAGGAGGAGGACGAAGGGAGAGAGGGTAGAATGATTGAGGAGGATGGAGCATTGATGGAGGGCTGCCTGGAGGAGGAGGAATAAGGGAGAGAGGGTAGAATGGCTGAGGAGGATGGAAGTATTGATGGAGGACTGCCTGTTGGAGGAGGACGAAGGGAGAGAGGGTAGAATGGCCGAGGAGGATGGGGCATTGATGGAGGCTGCCCGGAGGAGGAGGAAGAAGAGAGAGAGAGGGTAGAATGGCTGAGGAGGATGGGGCAAGATGGAGGGCTGCCTGGAGGAGGAGGAAGAAGGGAGAGAGGGTTGAATGTCCAAGGAGGATGGGGCATTGATGGAGGGCTACCTGGAGGAGGAGGAAGAAGGGAGAGAGGGTTGAATGTCCAAGGAGGATGGGGCATTGATGGAGGGCTGCCTGGAGGAGGAGGAAGAAGGGAGAGAGGGTTGAATGGCCAAGGAGGATGGGGCATTGATGGAGGGCTACCTGGAGGAGGAGGAAGAAAGGGGAGTGAAGGTGAAATGGTTGGAGAAGGATGGGGGCATCAATGGGAAACTGTCTGGAGAAGGGAAGCAAGAGTGTAGAATGGCTGGATGGGGTTGGGGATATTGATGGTGGGCTGCGTGGTGGAGGAGGAATTGAGGGAGAGAGTGTAGAATGGCTGGAGGAAGATAGGGGCACTGGAGGAAGGGGTCTGGTGAAAAATGACTGGAGAAAGGTATTAATAGAGGAAGAGAAGCAGAGCGTATTACTGGTGGGCTGCCTGGAGGGGGAGGAGGAACAAGGAGAGAGAAGTAGAGTGGCTGGAAAAGAATGGGGACATTGATGGAGGAATGAAGGGAGAAGAGGCTCGTGGATGGTGCCCTGCCTGGAGGCTGAGTGTGGGGGAACTCATTAACTAATAATTGATTAATTGGAAGAGGAGGAAGATCAAGATGGGAGATCAAAGGTAGATGGATGGAGGGGGAGGGGGGGCTCATGAAGAAGAGGTAAGAGCATGATGGAACGATGGTGGAGGAGAGGGACTGAGGGGGACTGGAGGGAGAGAATGCTGATGGTGAGGTGATGGAGAGAAGGACAGAGATGAGACTGAAGGTAGAATGGATGGGGGAGATAGGCATTGATGGAGAAATGGCTGGAGAAGAAAGAAGATACAGGAGAACAGTGATGGGAATGAGGGGAGCCGGGGCACAGAGCTTCCAGGGTGAGGTGGATGGAGGGGACCGTAATGCGGGCCCTGCAGTCGGAGGACGCAGACACTGATGTTGCAGTAGGTAGAGAAGGCCTGAGTGGACGAGCTGGAAGAAGAGGAAGGGGGTGGTGATGGAAGAAAAAGAGGCAGAATAAGCCTGCAAGAAAAATGTCTTCCTGAGTTCCTTCATTCTTCTCTCTCTCTCTGTCAACGGTTGACAAACATTTACTGACAGTCATAAAGCCAGAATTGAACCAGAAACCAGCCCCTTCTTGCCCAGAGTCCCTGTGAGAAGAAGATCAAATGTCAATCATGTCTGGAAAACGTCAGGTTATGTGGGCACCCAGAGAGGGCACAATGAATTGACCGCAGGGTTATAAAAATTTGGAGACAGACTTCATTTTCTTCACTTCTCCATGAAGGACGTGTCGGGAAAGGCCTTGAGGCAGAGAGAAGGGTGTGTGCGAAGGTCTGGAGGTGTGTGGAATCCTTGGATGATGGGCACCACGAAATGCCTGGGGTGCCTGAGCACAAGTGTGAGGAGGAAAAATGAGAGACAGTTGAGGAAAGTGTCTGAAAGTACCCGGGTCATGAGAAGCCTTGGGCAGGACAAGCCTTGGGCGTTAACAAGAAAAATAACTCAACATTTATGATTACCGCATGCCAGAAACCGCTGTTAAGAATGTTACAAGAATCAACTCATTTATTCTTCATAACAGTCTTAGCAAGTCTGTTATTACTCTCATTTCCCTCCCTGACAACAAGATAGAAGCTCCAGGAGAGACAGCAACTCTTCCACGATCACTTAACTAGAAAAAGTGCCCTGACTGGGATTTCAAATTTGGCAATCTGACTTGAGCTTCTATCAGAAAAATACTTTAGGGACAAGCACACAACCACCCTGCTGCTGTGAGCACCCAAGTACAGGGACTCTGTTCTCTGGACGCCCTCCCTGCCTGTTGGATCTGTAGTAGCAATTTTTCTTTACTCTCTCTTCTTTCTTTTTCTTTGACTGTTCTACCTACGTGCTTACTTTTCACTAATCTTTTCAAAGCACTAGCTGTGACTCCGATTCCAGGCTCCTCGGAGAAACTGCCGCTGATTCCAGGGCCAGGGTAAGGAAAAGAATGAATGAGCTGGGATTTGACAGTAAGGAAACCAACTGCTCAGAGACTGAGGAGAACGGGTCCCAAGGGCCGAGGAACTCGCAGAGGCCAAAGATGGGATCACGGGGCATGGAAAAGAATGGCAAATGGTATATGCTGAAATCTATTCGGGGAACAGCAAAAAGCGAGGGAAGGCATGGCTGGTGAAGAAGCTGGAGCCTTCCACATGCAGGGAGGCATGGGCGGGTTCCCAGGCAGGGAGGAGCTTGGGGGGGGGACAACTCCGGGTGGAAGTTTTTAGGGGTGGCTGGAAGGGCGGTGGTGGGTGGTGCTGGTGCGAGGAAGGAGAGAAGCTTTTAGGGCTGAGAGAAGCTAAATAGAACAGAGATGGGGCAGTAGAGGGTGAGACCTAGAAGGGGGTAGCAGAGACTGGGAAAGTGGGGGTCACAGGAAGAGACTAGAGGGTGACTAGAAGATAATGTGAGAAGAGGAGAGAGTGAGAGGAAAGGATACAGGGAGAGGCTTGGAGGGGCTGAGAGAGTTGGAGAAGACTGGTAGGGGATGGGGGAGACTGGAAGGGGTTGGAGAGAATTGGGGGGCACAGTGACAGACTGGAAGGGGCCAGGGAGAGAGGAGGGCACTGGGAGGACTGGTCAGGGATAGGGGAGGCCAGGAGAGAACGCTAACAGGCTGGGGGGAACCTATGCTTTGGGTGAGCAGAGGAAAGGGGAGCTGGGGCAGGCTTTTGGGGGGCCTTGAGGGCAGGGGGTGGGGACGACTCACCCCTAGTGTGCAGAAGGCTGGGCGGGGGTCCCGCTGGGAGCAGAGGCTCAGGCCTGTGTGCGCGGTCCTGTCCGGAGCAGTCGGAGTCGGGTGGGGCCCGGAGCCGAGGGGAGGGGCTGGGGGCGGGAGGGAGGGGCTGGGGGGCGGGACGTGGTGCCCCCCCAAAACCGGGCGCCTGGCCCTACGGCGCCTCCTGGTGGACAGCGGGGACCACGCCCGCGCGAGGCTCGAATTCAGCCTTTTGCAAATTCTTTGGAAGCAAACCCGCGCCCAACCCCAGCAAGTTCCTTTTTCTTTACTTTATATATAAAAAAAATTTAAGGTAAAAGACAAAGACAGATTTATTAAGAGAGATAATCCCAAAAGAGTAAGTAATGGAGGAGGCTTTTTATTTACTCTTAAAATAAATTTACTGTTCCCCCCCCATCTGAACCTTCATTCACCACCATTTGGTTAATTTTGCTTTAGGAATACTTTTTCCCTTCTTTAGACCACGATCAGCTTTGCAAGTCCAAATATGTTAAGCAATACTCTTACTATTATAATTTGAAAAGCTCATGTGTAGTAAAAGACTTTGTTGCATGGTTAAAAAAAGAAAGAAAATCAATTTACTCGTTTCTTTTTCCTTTTTTTAAAGCGAAGACAGATATATTGAGAGATAGATCCCAAGGAAAGGGACAGACCTTTCTTCCATGGAAATGGAGTCATGGAAGGGGCTCTTTTTATTTGCTTTTAAAATCTTTGTACTTGTTTTGTTGAAAATATACACACACCAAGCTGGAATAAGAGGTGCATTGCAAAGTGGACTCGGGGGAGGGGGAAGGGAGGAGGTCGGAAGAAAATGTGCAAAAATGAATAATTTTTATAAAAAAGTATACACAGAAGAGCAGACACAATCTGACAATTTCCACGTGTACGAAGCTGAGAGTTGACACAACCAATTCTCACCCTCCTTTCTCAAATTGTTTCTCCCCCATTAACATAAAATTATCAACAGAAACTCCCTGCCCTTTAAATTGCCCGTCTAATGTTTCCCATTGCAGTTGTCATTTTAATCCCAAAGAGATAATTCCTTTAAAAAGCATGGTTCACAAGGCAGATATTTTTGCTTCTTTACTAATCAAGCTAAAATGGTCTGGTTTAAAGAAAACTTTAGGGAGCATTTTTTACTTAAGCTTGAAGATTTTTCTCAGAACAATCATTTTGGAGGATGATCTGGAGCTTCAGATGTCCCCAGGAATCGTAGAATGCAAGAAGGTTTGAAATTCTGCTCTGTTATTTCTCCGTTTTGATCAGAAGTCTCTACCATCTTCGATTCAAATGTTCAGTAACGGTAACCAGGCATCATTAAATTCTTTTGGTCTCAATGCAAAACACTGACATCTCCCTTATAAACATGGAGATGATAATAATAATTTTAAAATGTATATGAGTTTGTAGGGCGATTTAGTGGCATAGTAGTAAGAAGCTGCACTGCAGTTACAAAGGCATGCAGTTCGAATCCATCAGTTGCTTACTCCGCAGGAGAAAGATGGGCAATATTCTCCTTTGTGCTATGTTGTTGTTGTTCGGTGCCATTGGGTCGAATATGTTCAGCTATTTTATTTCGACGTTTTCCTTTAGATTTGGTTTCTCGATGTTCCAGTGCAATCTTGAGAGTCTCTGCTGACATGAGGCTGGAAATAGAATGATTGAATTTTGTATTTACAATGACTTATTCATTGAAAAGACTTCCTAAAAGACACAAAAGATGGTTTTACACATGCATTGCACCCAATGGGCTGCATAGGA